CCCGCTGCTAAGTAATGTTGCGCGCAACGCCGCGTAAATCTCCGCAACCCTGCAAATAAACGCGCCTCAAACCCCGAAATGACAGGGTGATTGATAAGAATCAATTGCTCGGCTTTTTCGTTCCGCTTCGTTCTTCTGGTTGGGCAGGTTTCGGGGCAGCTTGTACTTCTTCCTTTGGCTGGGCTTCTTCCATCAACTGCTGAAAGAAATAATCTCATGAAGTTTATTGGTAAACAGAACGATTCATTACGAAACACACTTGCTGCCTTTTATATTCTCGTTTCTCCCGTAGATATACGATGAAGGTATAACCACCTCCTAATATTGCGAATATCGCAGTCGCCGGCCATCAGAGTCAAGCATACCCTGATAAGCGAACCACTCCGAACATATTGCATCATAAGTGCATTTAGCACTTAACGAATACATTGTCGGATGCAGTACACTGATTAAACAAAACTCTAAGGTGAAACTAATAACCAAATCGCAGCAAGTTTGATCGTTGTATGCAGGCACCATAATGCTAGCTCATCGAGGCTTGTACTCGCACCATCGGAAAACTGTAAAATCCAGTAACTGGGGCGGCTCACATGCACCATCTCGCAGCTTCCCAAGAGTTGACATGTGTTAGCCGTTTCTTTACACGTACCAGCAAGAGGAACTAGCTAAATGCGAAATGCCCCCTCCAAGCTGAACAGCGTTATAAGATTCATTTTTACTCTTTCCTCAAATGTAATGTGCACACTGAGCTAGAGAGATGGGTCAGAGGGTCGCCTCCTGTGGAAGTGGTATGGTTGCACCTTCTAGTCCGCTAGAAATTAAAAGCTAGGGGCTTTTCACAAATAGAGACTGTCGGACTGCCGCTTGGGTGACCGTATCTCCACTGTCTTCAACCTCAACTCCAACGAACATTATGCTCTACTCGATTTGCGATGCTATCACACTAGTAGCAGGCTCATGTTCAATAAAGGTGTGCTCCAGCCCTCTTTATCCTCGGGATATGGAGCAGGAGTTGCGCTGAGAGAGTAAAAAAGGAGATTATCTCACAGTGGATTCAATGCCGCGCCCTTCTCTTTCGTACTGCAATGCTAATGCTTCTCTAGGGTGGCCTCAGGGGAACGGAAGGAGTGGTAACGAGCCACGTTTTTAGGTGGGGTGCAACCTCATACAGAGTCGTTCAAAACCCGAACATGACTGACATCGCGCCTACATTTGAAGAGAACGATCGGAATCTCATTAGGTATGCAAATGGATCTTATCTAAAGCAGTGACCAGAGTTCAGCATCGTGATGTGTGAAGTGGTAGTGTCAGCACGACTCCCTCCAAAGGTGGGTCTCTGTACGACCCCTCTCCCTTCCCCAACACCTACTTACCACTTTCCTGCAAGTTCCCAGCTTCCTGACAGTTGTTCTAAAATTTCCCACATTTTCCAGTTCTGCACCCACCCAAGAATTTTCCGTCGAGCGAGGAGGTGGGGGAGGGTTGAAGGAGCCAATGTGAAGCAGAGAAAACCGCGAGAAGTTGACAACCGTCAAAAAATTCCTTAAAACGCGGCAGATTCCTCTAGAAAGCACCGACCCCCCTCTCCCAACATCACCAAACTCCCCCCTCCCCCTGCTCAACGGTCCAAGTACGACCCCCCCCCCCATATGTTTCACACAACGATGCTCTACCCTGGCAGTACACCTTTATTGTTTTGCTGCAGCGATTAAATGTAGAACAAAGTGGAGCATTACACATTCGAATACTCACCAGTTCCCAAATTGTCTCTGTCTTCATCTTGAGGCTTGTGCGTTCGCCTCCCACCTGCACCATGTCCTTTCTTCGTCTTCGCATCCGCAACGGATGGTCTCCGCCTGCGAATATACCAATGAATTTTGTTGTTCAGTCACATTTCAGCCCCATGCAGGAAAAAAGTGTGGAAGCTTCAATCCCAGCCACCTCTTTAGCAAGAAAAGTTTGACCGTGGCTGCCATAGTTAGCAAATATAAGGGGATGCGGAGCTGACACAAAGTCGTGAACGAGCCGGAGCCGCGACAAAATCCAAGGCACCGCCGGCTGCTTTGCAGGGCTTTCTAGATGTCGTTCTTCCTCAACACGCTCCACTCTGTTAACTTTGATGCACGACCCGCGTTCACGAATGCTGAGCTATACTTCATGAAGTAACAAGTGACTCAAAAGTGAAAAATGAGAAAAAAAACCGGCCGAAACGCCCCTCGATTGCCGCTGTTTCAGCGCGTTTTACGTGCACCAAGGGGACAAAGGGCGTGTCGACGAGTTCCCATTTGAGCGGGCGCCAGCTTCTCTCTTCTGCTCTCTCCATTCTCTCCATGCCTTGCCCCACTCACTCTTACCATTTCAAGAGAGAGAGAGAGAGAGAGAGAGAGAGAGAGAACGAGGTAATAGAGAAGCACGGCACAAAGAGGAAGTCTTCAGTAATGAAAGAAGGCCAAACAAGGCGCCTGAAAATCAAATGTACGGAAGGCGCGCCTGTGAGCCCACCCGGTAGTCGTTCATCGGTGACTAGTATTTGAACAGCTCAATTGTGTGCTTGTCTCTTGTCCTGCCTGGCTAAGTAAACTCGAAATCTCTGAGTTGTGGTAGGCGTGGAAGAGTGCTTCAACTAAACGGCTGCTGTGCTTTTGGTGAAAATTTCAATTTTGGCATATTTGTGGCTCTGTCCGTTGCAGATCAAGATGAGAGTTGTCTCGAAATAATGTATCCCACGAGTAATTCCTTCAATGCCATCTTCAAATGCCACGCCTACTCCGTCTCAGGGATAAGAAGTGTAGGACCGAGAAAAAAACCTGCGAACATACTTCTTATCTAGTACACGGAACACGACTTTCCCTCCAGCCCTTTCTTTCAGCTTCTTCTTTTCATCGTGACTTATCTCTGAGTAGGTCTCGATCACAGCAACAACATCCACCTCATCTTCCTCATACTCAAGGCCCACTTTGTGCAGAGGATTTATTGACGTCAAATTTGGGTTGCCAACAATTTGAATAATAGGACCTGGAAGAAAAGATGTTGTCAAGGCAGTGGACACTATTGGTGGAAGCGGGCACTGGTTGCCATTGGTGTAAGGGCTGCGAGATGACTCGTCGCCACACCTCATTTAGCCCATCCACCAAGAACGTTGGTGACAATCGCCCTCCCCCAGCTACTGTGCCCACTACCACTGAGTGCCATAAATTTCAGAATCTCAATGTCAATGATGTCGTTGCAAACTTTTGAGAAGTTTGAAGGAAGATGTAATGAAAACTCACGTATGGTTGTGGTATCGGATATATTTCTTAGAGATTCCAAGAACGATAGATTTTTGATGCCCGTGTTATTAGTAACAATAAGTGAGCCTTCGATATGCATGATTTTCTTGAACTTGTCGAGTAAATTGAATGAAGATTCAACTGCAATTGACAAGTTGGTTTGCAAACATGCAAAACTAATCAACTTGGTTGTTCTGCCCGTCAACAGCTTCGCTGCGATCATACTCGGTTAAGGTGATGACATAGGGCACCATTTCTGGAACGGACGCAGGCCGAAAATGCAGCGAACTCAGAATCATGACAACAAAAAAAAACACAGAAACACTCTTATAGGAACGCTTTCGTATTGAGTGAGCCTCATGAAAAGAATAAGCACTCGACTAGGCGCATAAACAACACTGTTTTCCTCCTCCTCCAAAGCCTCTGTAGTAGCATACCGAACGCGGTGATTTTACACCCAAGGTGAGGTCACACTGGGGTTCGCAGCTGCAGTAGAGTTCTATTTTTTCCACGATGCATGGGAATGGGAGTGCAGGGTTGTGATACCCGGGTGCCGTCTCCCGACTATACTCAGGACACAGCATTATCTGCATCTGTACCAAGGTCTCTTGAAGAAACACGACAGAACAATCAGAAGTGAAGGCGTAGGCGGACAGCACCTTCGCCGATGAGTAGAAGTGTAGCAGACAGAAAGATAGCGCGAGCGGATATTCTCCTGTCTCTAGTCCATCCCGTGTATTGTTCGGAGGAAGAGTGGATCGCTCCTGCAGTTGCAGCGGATCCATTCAGATTCTTGAAGGAGCGGTCCGCGATGACCTATGATAATGCAAGAGGTTATGTGAGAAGGTGGTGCAGTCATGAGTGAATAACCATTCACCCAGAACCCAGCGCCAGTTTTGCGGGGGAAAGTTATACGCCGAGGGGATTAAGGCGCAGAAGTTGCTTCAGTGGTACATTTCTTTTTCCAGTGACTCCGCCTCCAGACTCCGCCTCCAAAGTCGGCTTAGCCAAAAGTAATGCTCCCGGGCAAGTATCATGGAGTGGATGCATTCAATGTCTCTTGTAGAGTCATAGGGTTCATTACTGGGAATCAGCGACGGGAATTGTCCCAGCGCGCGGTCTTTTCGGTCTTTTATCTCTACAGTTGTTTGAGGCTAGAGGAGGCCTGACGAATGCGTTTCCAACGTTCCCTTTGGCATTCTCTTCATAGATGGTTCACTTGGCGAATTTTCTTCCACATTTCTGCGAAATCACCTAGGCTTTTTATTGCGGACCGTGCCTTCAAGCCGTGCATGTAGATGGGTGTGCAGTTTGGCCCCAAGTATGCTAGAATGGTTGTGATCCAGCCCATTCATACAACTAAATCACATGTATTATTTGAAAAAGGAATAAAAGCAGGTAGCACATTAAGTCGACAAGGCGTAAAGCCTAGCAGGGAGAATATCGTGATACTGACTAAGGAGCGCGTGGTGCCTTTTCCGACCAAGGGCGCCGCTACCGCATTTGTATGAAGCGCTGCTGCATGGGTATATGAATGCATACGTGCAGCCGTAGCAGACAGTTTGCACCATGTCAACGAAAAAACTCGTACAAAATGCTCGTCCAGTGCCCTGCACAACAAAGAATTTTTTGCAAGTTTCCACCCGTTTGGCTCTGCTTCGACTGTTCCCGCTAAATAGCACCCCTACTACTACGTTCTACAAGTACCAAGTTGCCGTGCCTTATGACTTTAGCCATTACGTCTGATTTTCATGTTCATAGGAAACTACACAGTCATCGACGAAAATAACTAGCAATAAGAACACTGCGAAGGGTACTCACAATCATTATTCCGTATGATGAGACTTCCCAACATGATATTGCAATCAGTCAAACTGCTCAAAAACTTTTTTTCAGCTTTTCCATCGTCAACAACGCCTCCAAGACATTTTTTTCCTGCCAAACAGAATTCATACCTTGGTTAGCAATACAGCTTCCACTTCCAGCTTAATCGTCTAACTTACATAATTCACTAAAAATTTATGTGGTACATTCCGAGGATGCACTCGTTTTCCAACAAAATCGGACACTTTGAAAAATCAGATCGGACGTACTCTTTGCATCGGGCAGTTAATTAACTCGCAAGCCCCGTCCCTACACCCCACTAACTTTTCAGCGCAGTCACGGCTTTATTAAATTGGTTTTGTAAATACTGCTTCTGTTACTTTTCTGCATTTTCGCACATGCACACCCACAGAAAAGGTTGGTATAGCGACAAGGACAGACTTCGCCCACTTTTTGAGCGTCTTATTGCAATTTCTGAATTTTCATAACTGTTTTCGGCGTCATTCTTGTCACATTTAATTTCCAAGAAATGAATGTGCTAATGGATAGGTGGTCATACACTGGCACGCTTGGACCGCCCCTTTGACCAGACCCACGTTTGCGTCTCCTCGTGTAACTTTGATCTCTCTGCAAAATTCTCGCTTTTCTGGGCTGCAACAGGTGGCTCCGCTCCTCCCCCCCTCCCTGTTAGAAGCCATGACCCTTCACAGAAACTCCGGCTCACTTTCGAAGAATGATCCAGATGGGCAGGTTAGAGTCTCAACTGGCAGGTTATGGGCTCCCTCGTCGCTCGGAACAATATTTCCCTGGTTTTACGCTCCGGGTGACGGAAGAGACCATGAACGACCAGTTTAAATTCATACACTTCACAATTCGAGCTTGAACATCTTATACATTCCGGACCGCTGTTGCAGCATCATTTCATCACTTTTCGAGTGGCTAATCAGTAAAATCATCTGTTTCTTTCTCTTTTCTATGAGATATGTGTATTCTGTGCCTAAAAACGTGTCTTAGTAACTATGGACCTTGGACAAGACGCCGACCATACGAAACGGCGCAGAGAGAAAATTATGTGACACACCATGTGTGCCACGCGATCCGGAACGTGTTAAATTATTCACTGCAACAGCATACATTGTCATAAATATGCAAAGCGCCGCCCGTGACTGGCCACGTAATGCTTCGGAACGACTATGTGTTAAGTGTGACTGTAAATTTGCCGCAGAACTGTTTTTTGAAGTCGAGAAAGGTGCTTTCACCGTCGAAACATCATCTCAGATCGATAGCGTAACACCTTTCGTGGTTTCTGTTTCGGTCAAAGTCGAAATTCTGCTATCACTCTCCCAATCGCATTCACAAATGGTTTTGGGGACGGACAGACATACCTACTGCCTTTTTTGCTGGGCATGGGGCATTTCGGTGGGCGGGGTTTGGCGCTCCGTCAGCTCGTTCTCCATCAATTGCTGAAGTCTGTAAGCAACAGCAATTTACGGGAAAGGACTGATACACGATGTGGTACAGCAATTCCGCCTGTTCGCTTCTAGAATTGGTGGAAAACCGGTTTGGCGCCGCGCCAAACCCCTTCTCTCTCGCACGGCCCACCATCCGCAGCGACCAAGATCGTGCATACAGTACTATAAACAAACCAACATACAAACTGAAACACCAAGTAAGTGATTAGAGCAGGGTGATAACTTACCGCAATTATCGCTGAACTGAATTGAATGAGGAGGATCAACAAGTTTTTGTAATCTTTCCTCTGTATCGTCATCAGGACATATCTTCCCGTTATTCCGAACAATGATTTTTAATTTTCCCTTGTACCATTTTGGTCGTGTTATGTTCATACTGAGCAGGCTCGTAATATTCTTGAGGTCCGCGTTGTCCTCTATGATCAGTGCAGTAGCTGAAATCGTTAAATAAGCACTTATGTAAACGAAGAAATGAACCAAGAACAACAGTCTTTATTTTTTTACCGTTCAAAATACTTGTTTAATCGAATACCTATTCTTTTGGCGCCGCTGGCTCCGTCACACTGTAACTCATGTGAACCGACCACTTACAGGTCAACTTGCAATAAACGCTGGGTCAACTTTCCTTGTGTTGAGCTATGGTAACTTATCCCAATTTTTCTTGCTTGATAATCAAGAATTCAGACCCTCTCAGTTGATACTATGATACTATATAACCTCTTTTGTTTCAGACTTTTCTCACCAGAACGATCTTTTTTGTATCCATTGGACACAACCCTTGCCTTTACAGCAGGTTAAATTAGCTCACACCAAATATAACACTAGCCCCTCCCCAACGCTCAGTTTTCAGCATGGTCTCGATTTCCGCATTCTACTTCAATTAATTTTGTACATTTTTTTCCTATTTCGCACACATACAATGGCTGAAAGGGATTCACATGTCGATGGAAATGCGACTCCACTCAATTTTCCAGGGTTTCATTGCGAACATTGATTTTCTAAAACTTTTCTCAGCGCCGATGTTTCCAACCTACTCTTCACACTGACAAGGGAGGTGTTTCAGGTCATGGCGCGCTTTTTGGAAATGGTTTGTTGCTTGTTGTAGGGTACAAGGGTCACAAAAATGGGTTTCATTTTTGCTATGCGTTTCTGGGTAGGTCAAAAACTGAGTGAAAAGAATTTGACAAGAATGGGCGGTTTTAACAACCTTAATGGGCTCCTTTCTGCTTGTAACTTCGAGCATGCATAGTGAGGTGGTCACTAATTAGGCCTCAAAATAGATTCGATTAAAGTCAAAATGTAAGTATCATGTGGTAACACACTTGGCATGCATCGACGCAAGAGTGATGTTTTTGTCAGCGAACCCTTCACGACCACTGCGGCGGGTCGGATGGCGCAGTGGATAACACGACGGGTTCTGGATGGCACGGCAAGGGGGACTTTGTGGATCGGATCCTCCTCGCGGAAATGTTTTGCATTTTTCAGCTTTCCATTCATTCGCGTGCCTGTGTGTCTGGCAGTAGGAAATAAGTCAAGTATATGCCATTTGAAGGCATATACTTGTGGCCTGAAAGCGTGCTTGTGCTGGCCCTCGCAGTTCATGTCAGAAGGGTTATTGCAACGAAATACCATCACATTCATGTTCAGCGGGTTGGATTACCCCTGGGAACTAATGAACTAGCCAAATCTGACGTTTTGACCTAACTTAGAAAATGTGGACGCAGCAGCAGACTTGGGTCCACCCACTATGGATGAGTGGTCTTGGGATGGAATAAAAACTTCTACCGGTAATCAGGAAAATGATGCAGGCGGCACGAACAAGCGAGCCAGGTATTGTTCTTTGCGAAAAGACATGACTGAAGGGTTATTTCAGTGCAAAGACCAGTCATCACCAGTATGCTAGTCGGATTATTGGCTATCATCCAGGCGTGACCATCTCTACCCCATTTTTTCGAAGTTGAGTCAGAACCTCGGATTTCCTCAAGGTGGCGTTTCTAGGGGTTGTTTGACCCCCTGAACACGAATATGATATCTATTTCGCACGGAGAGAGAGCTGTGAGTCGCGCTACAGGTGCAAATTCACTGCGTCCAGCCTACCCGCAACAAGAAAAACAGTGAAGGAAAATCTCCATAACTCCGCTCATAGAATCGCTTCGCAAATTCTGAAGATAGTTTCGAGTTCAATGTGTTAAGATGAGTACAATGATATGCACTCACTGCAAATGGCCAGGTTGTCCTGCTGTGGTGGCCTTTCCTGGATGACACTTTTTAAACCGGCACTGTTGTGTGGAGAACCTTGTTTCCGGAAATGTTCACGTCTCGTTGCGTTGATACAGATGCAAACTGTTGCCGCAATGACGATCCGAACCAAGTCCCGCACTGTCGTGCCATCCATCGTAATACCCAGTACGCCATCCGATCCGCCAGCAATGGTCATGAAGGGAGCGCTGACAAAAACATCACTCTTGCGTCGGTGCATGCCAAGTGTGTTACCACATGATACTTACATTTTGACTTTAATCGAATCTATTTTGAGGCCTAATTAGTGACCACCTCATAAACTATGCATGCTCGAAGTTACAAGCAGAAAAGGAGCCCATTAAGGTTGTTAAAACCGCCCATTCCTTGTCAAATTCTTTTCACTCAGTTTTTGACCTACCCAGAAACGCATAGCAAAATGAAAACCTATTTTTGAGCCTTGGTGGACGCCCTACACAACGCAAGAAAACCATTTCCGAAAAAGACGTCCATGACTGAAACCTCCTTGTGAGGGGGGCAATACGACTCTGGTGACCCTCCCCTACTAACGCCTCCTATCAGTCTTATCAGCTAATATTACTCCCTGTCACCCACCAGTAATTGTTCGCAGTGCACGCCCGCTATATCACTCTTGGTAAAGTCTCACCCGCTATGTGGACGGGCGCTATGGATTTCGTGACAGCCAGACTAACAGGCATACTCTGCGGGTTATATATATATATATTATATATAATATAATATATATATTATAATATATATATATATATTATATATATATATAATATATTATATATATATATATAATATATATATATATAATATATATATATATTCGTCATCGGGGGTAATTAAGGCGGCTGGAGTCACGACGCAGCTGCGGCGCGTCACGAGGGCGATCAGCTCTTCCCAGCCATTCTAATTTCAACGTGTAATTTCTAAGTTTTGAGGTTAGTTTTTTACTCGTCTTTTATGAAGTATACATTAGAGGGGAGTTATCACAAGAATGCTGAGTTGGGGGCAAAAGTCGGACCACGGACGGGATTCGAACCCGCATCTTCTGCTTACCGGGCAGCTGCGTTCCCTATTACGCTACCGAGGCCACTTTTGACCTCTCAGCTCAATGACTATTCCCTCCGAGCACTCACATCGGTTAGCCGATATCGGCAGTGAACCGCAAGGCTGAAGGCTTTTAACAAGTTTCAAGCTGTCATTGTTTGATAACTGCTCTTTAACGTCCCATCCGTGGTCCGACTTTTGCCCACAACTCAGCATTCTTGTGATAACTTTCGGATCGCGTACTGCGGCGTTAAACAGCAGTTATCAAACAATAACAGCTTGAAGCGGAGTGTTTTTTCTTGTTTTGCAATAGTGTTTTTGCAATTTTTTCAGGTATTTGTTCAATTGTCTGCTTAACTGTTTAATTGTACGCAAAAATCAGAGGAATCTCAATCATCACCTTGTGAAGACAAGGAACAACTAATCGTGAGAAAAGCAGCCAAAACAGCGTAAATAGGGAGAAAATGGCTAAAATAGGCAGGTGATCGCCGCGCTCGTGACACACCGCAGCCGCGTCGCGACCCTTGCCGCCCTATTCAAGTGCGCGGATGACGACTTTACAGTAGAATATTAGGGAAAGTTCGTTTGCAAATGATATCAGAATGGCAAAGATAAAGGAATGCACGCATTTATACAATACACGCATTTATCTGATATTTGGATGCCTTCTTTGGACATGGTAACCCTGCTCATGAGCATGGAGGATGTACTACCTGCACAGGTCAAACAACGTGAGGAAAGTGCTACTCGCTCATTACGAGGCCACGGCCTCGGTGGCTGGCCACGGCGAGACCCATTTTTATTTCTAAAGGGTCCTTGATAGTGCGGTTGTTCTGCTACGAGATCAGCAAGGTCCAGAACGGGGTTCCATAAGGAGTCCAGACTGGTTATTTCTACTTTTTGCTTTTTCTTCTTTTTTTGTGTTACTCGCCATTTTTTATCTCTGCACCACAGTAGGACATTTTTTGAACACAAAGCCGGTGCCTACAGAATGTATTTCTTTATTGGAAATACACATTCTACTAGTACATAATCAATCCTAATGTTAAGACGTACTGTGGGTAGACAAATATGAGGAAATCGCGTAAAATATAAAAAAAACTTACTATAGTGTGGGAAAATTGTGATGTGCTCCACCGCAGTGAAGTTTAGTGAGGTTACTTTTCTTGATGGTCAATTGTCCGTGAATTTCTTTTACATTCTTCAGCCCAGCTTCAACGTTGCTTTCGGCTGCATATCCAATTGTGACTTTGCCAATCAAAACACGGCAGTTTCCGACTGCTTTAGATATGTCTTCCTTCTTAAAAACCCTATCGCCCATATAACAGTCTGAAAGAAGAAGTCTCACTTCCGACAAACACTATTTGCCTCATTTTTTCTCATACAGATATCCACGGCTCCAGCGAACGATATTTGCTATGCGGTAGGCGTGATTCGGGACCATTGGGAAGGATCTATCCAACATGTAAAAGCTGTCTGCCTCGTAACTTGCGCGACGGCTTCGGTATGAGAATAAAGCGGAAATTCCTTTGGAAATAAACTCTCGATTAGTCAATGGACACAACGTCGTCAAAACATAGCGTGGAGCTAAGACCTACACCTGACCTCATCCAAACATAACTTAGAGACAGAACCCATACGGGTTCGAAAACTAGAAAATTCCCATTTTTCAGAAAGCGTAATATTCGGGTCACAGGTCCACCTTATCAGGAATTCGCCCGTCGCGAGTTTGGTCCAAAAGTTTACGTCATCTGCAACAACAGGGCGCAACCAGCGCATTGCCTTCATTTCCAACCTAGAATCTTAGAAGCTTCCAGTGCACCACTTTCTTTTGAGATGAATGGGGATTGATTCACAGAGGTGCTGATCAACCGTTGCGTGGGATGCCCACGCATTCGTCTCCCATGCAGAGTCTTAGTGACACTTATCGAAATCTAAATTTAGGGAGCAACCACCTCCAAACGGCGTTTACATGACAATGAACTAAAAATTTTGGTTTTGGTCCTAGTGCGGAGGGCCAGAGCGCCAGAAAAGTTGGCGCCATCAAAGGACTTGTGAGG